TGCTTCTTGTTATTTTTGAGATGGAATTTGCTGGGTAGCTCTGTCTGTCCAGCATCTTGTTCTGTAGACCAGACTGGCCTCAAACTCAAAGAAATCTACATGCTCCTGCCTCCCAAGTGCTGAGATTAAAGTGCCACCATGCCTAGCCAGGGAAATTGATTTCTAATGAAGATTAACACTCCTTATACTCACAGAGACAGTTTGATCCAGTAGTACATAACAGGGTCATAAAATATGAATTGAAACAGACTGTAAAAACAAAATAAATTTTAGATGAGTCTAGAAAAGACAGAAAATAACCTTTCATACCAGATCTGATTCATCTGAAGAATTATTGGATGTTTGATTGAAACATATGAAGTTATTTAATTTGCTTTACCTGCTCTACTGATCCAAAGTTTTCTGATATGTCATAGACACCCAGGTCTTGTATTTCTTTCTTTCTTTCTTTCTTTCTTTCTTTTTTTTTTTTTTTTTGACTTTTTAACATACAAACACTGAGTAAGCTTGGATTTGTCTACTTTCTACTTAATTCTCTATGGCTAGCCTTTAGGGTTAGAAAACTTCCAAGAAAAAATATACCCTTTCCCCATTTAAATCTTCTAGAAGATTCTATATTATACACGGTATGTATTTGTGTATTTTAATAAAAGTAGCATGTAGGAAAGACTTTTATCTATTGTCAATACATTTCAAGTAGTGTATAAACCCCTATAATGTTTTACTATTCTGATATTAAAACAGCAATATAAATTGTAATGCAATGCTCTTGGGAAAATATCAAATGCTTTTCTTTTCATCTGCTGAGAAAATTATTAATATTGGTACTGTAAAGGTTTATTTCTTAAATAAAAAGCTGAATTTACCTTCAGAGAAAGAAAATAAACAGAAATGAGGAAAGCATTGGATTTACACATTCTTGATATATATTCTTTTTCCCTTTATATTTTGTGCATTATCCCAGGCAGCTTTAGCTGCATAAGCTTGTTATTTGGGAGCAGTAGTTTTCTGAATACTTTGTTACAAATATGTTTACCATCTCACAGTGTGTGATTATTCAGTTAAGAGTAATCTTCTCTGAACATTATAATGTGAACACAATTTAGCAACAACCAAACTCAATTCTATGACAGCAGAAATGTATATAAATTTCTAGAACCTTGTGGATGACTATGTCAACGCTATGACAGCAAAAATGTATGTAAATTTCTAGAACCTTGTGGATGACTAACGGATTACACTATTATAGAAAGTTGAGATTTTTATTTTCCTCTAGAGACACAACAAAATATCTGTATTGATGCCAAATTTATGTACTGAAGTTATTTATTTGTTTTACATAAAATGTTGTTTATTGGACTACCTTTAGGAACAGTAAGAACTGAAAACAGACTGTAACCCTCAAATTCCATATAATTGTTCTAGACCACATTTTCTAAAGCTACCTGGAAATTCATGCCCAATATTTCCCATAAAACTTCCTTTTTTGTATAATAAGAATGTGAGTGTTTTTCTGTGGTGGGGGGAGGAAATGGAATTGAAAATGCTCTAGACAACATATTTTTTGTGGTTTTAATAATAGTTTACCATTGCCTAACAAAGTATCTCTATTTTAATGGCCACTGTTAATGATTTGAGTTTCTCAATGGCTTTTGTATCAGATTCAAAGTGTAGTTAGTCTCTGTCAACAAAATATGTGCTACAACAGCTGAGCTGGAGGATTCATTTCCAAGATGGCTTCTTCATTTACATGTCTTATACCTTGGCACTCACTGAACATTTTCTCTCCACATGATTGATGTCACATGCATGTGAACTGAGTGAGTTTCATGTAGCATAGGGGTTTTACAGCTGATCTAGAGACTGGGAGAGACATTGTAAGTTTCTCTCAACCTAGCCTGTAGAATCTCAAAGCACTGTTTATGTCATACTCTATTAGTTAATCTTATTCCTGAGACCATACAAGAATTGGGGGAATAACAAAACCCATAATTATTTGGTGGGACTAGCAGAAACACATATGTTTACCTTTATCACAGAATTTCCTTGAATTTTATGAAAGTGTATTTATTAGACCAACATTTAATAAGATGCTTAGGTATTTGAATTGGACTATTGTATTCTTTGGGAACTTATAAAATTGTTGTTTTAGTTTGAGGATGCCTGAAGATCCATAAATACACTTGATGATAAATTTTAGAATCTGGTGGAAAATAAATTCTAGAGGTTTTAATTATTACTAAATCATTGATCTTTGACATTGAATTTTGAAATTTATCATGCTTTGTGTGAACAAGTATTCCAATATATACCAAAGTATCCCAATAGTACTACCACACTATATTACATTTTTAATTTTCATCAGACATAAACTGAGACATCTAATAAACCATTATCTTTGTTTATTTTTTCCTATAGTGAGATTTTTTTTACAAATGTTTATCATTATGACTACAAATCTCCCATTAAGACTCGGTCTCTGATATTTACATTGCTTGCAATAATGCTAAATAAATAAAATCACTTCAAATTATCTAGCCTATACTTGTTTAAATATAGATGATCTAGTGACAAATTTTATTTTAGTTTCCCTAAATGATATGGTTATTTCAAAATATTGTAGAAACAGCATTTTTGAGATGAAAAATGGGCAATTGCCATCTTTCTGTCAAAAAAGTTAGTTACAAGCTAAAAAGTTTGGCTTTATATCTAGTGTAAATCAGATTAATATACTAATTTTATAGAGTTGTAGGATTGGTGGTATAAGTTAGCATGTGTTGGAATACTTGTCAAAGCAATTCTATTGTAGATATTATAAACCACTTATATAAAACTGAATAGGCTATACCCCTTAAAAGGCTTGATTTCTTTGTTTTGAGCAGTAATTCTAAACTGCAATTTAAGTATGCATAATGGCAGAAGACAACAAAATTTCTTTACACTGTCATCATAAACAAAATTCACTCCAGTTTCATTTGTAATAGTTCTACAAATTTTGTTGTCTCTGCTTAATATACAAATTATCTTATAAAATAATCTTATAAAAATAAAAATAATAATAAAAGATCATGAATGTCTCTATGTAACTCCTAGGAAACCACAGAACAGTACTGGAATATTTGCATCTTAGTAGAGTAAGTGAAGCTAATTGGGTAGAAAGAATGTCAGCAAATCTATATTTTTTTCATTTCCTTTAACAAAATATAATGGTTTCAAAATTATATGGGAAAGTTGGAAAAATGATAGCCTGATATTTCAACTACATTTACAAATTATCTACCACACCCGTAGTTCAACATCTTTATTCTATCTCATCATTTGGTTTAAACAGATTTAACTTGGATAATCATGTTGTTGGACAGCATTTATAAGATATATTTTAGAACAGTGAACAAGATCTTAGGGCATAATTTTCTCTCTCTTTTACAAACTCATATAAAGTTTTATCAATCCAAGTTTGGTTGGAAAAATCAAAATGAGAGTCAACAATTTCCAAACATGTGTAATTGGGTTTAATTTAATATTGGATTAAGCTAAGCACTGAGCCATATTCCTGGAATCCAATAGTATAGAGGGAGGAGGGATGACCAAAGAAGTCAAGAGCATGCTGGAAAAATCTACAAAAACAGTGACCTGACCAATAAGAGCACAGGGATCCCAGTCATAAATCTGGGGATCTAGCACTGGACCGAGCCAAGCCCTCCAAATGTGGGGATCTAGCACTGGACCGAGCCAAGCCCTCCAAATGTGGGTGCCAGTTAGGAGGCCTCGGCACTCTGTAGGACCTCTAACAGTAGAACCAGCATTTATCCCTAGTGCAGGAATGGACTTTGGGAGCCCATTCCTTCTGGGCAGATAGTATTTCAGCCCAGATACATGGAGGAAGGCCTAGGTCCTCCCCCAAGTGACATGACAGACATTGATGATCCCGCATGTAATGCCTCACTATCTGTGGGGAGTGGGTGGGGAGTGGATTGGGGGGATCAATGGGAGGCATAGTAGAATGGAAAGGAGAGGGAACAACGGGGGAGGATTGATATGTAAGATAAGATTGCTTCTAAATAAAAAAAAAACATAATTTATAAAATGATTGAATTCAGTTAATTCTTCTTGGCTGTATAATTGGTAGGCACCATCATGGTCACAAATTGCAAATGATTACATTTTTCTAAAATGTATTCAGTAATTCCACTTTTTGTTTTTAATTGAGAAACTTCAGAATATTAAGATCAAATCGAAGACAGGCAAAAGCTCACAGAGGTTAAGTAATATAATTTACACTAAAAGGCCACACTTTGGAAGAAAACAAAATTCGGCCTGCCTTTGAGTTTTATTCTTATAGTTTTTAAATCATGTGGGTTGGAAGAAGAGCACACACACACACACACACACTCACACACTCATTCACACACACATGCACTCACTCGTATGCACACAAGCTCAATATTTCATGCTCTTGTTTGAGACTGTGTAAAGATAATAGTACTCATAAATCAACTTGTTACTTTTCCTAGCATCATATGATTCATAAATATTCAATGACTTCTACATAAAATATGTTTAAAATAACACTGAGTTGGGTTGTTAAAAATAGTATTTTTAACATTTTTATCATTTTAAAGGGTGCCCTGAGCACATCTTTCTGAAGTGCTTTCTCTCCAAAAAGAAATTTTTTGGCTGACACATGTATGAAAAGTTTTCTGTACCAATCACCAATGAAAAACAACCATGAATCTATCAATCACAGAGTTAAAAAGCTCTGTTCTATAGCACACTTAATACCAAGTGTAACAAATTAGTATTACCATTCCTTGATGCAATACAAACTCATTTCCTTAAACTGCTATTGCACTGAATGCCAGAGTTATAAATGAGCAGAACACAAATTGATTTGCATGTAATAACAGTGGCAATGAACCTTTCCTGGTTCATGCAATTTCCCCCATCTGTTAACAGAGAACAAGTTTAGGATCTATTATTATTCCCAGAAAGAGACTTACCCAGCTGGACATCTATAACACTTGGCTGATTTTCCATGGGGAACAATGGCTTTGGAGGCTTGTCTGTGAGTAAAGCTAGAAGAGAAAATGAAAGAAAGTAATGGAAAAATTGAGATAAATTATAGGGTAAAGATGATTCTATCATGTATGATATTTAATGACTGTAGACTTGATGGTGTGTAAACATTTATTAGGCAGTATACATACTTGGGTTGTTACTCTAGCCATGCAATATCCATTTCCCAGGAAATTTAGAGCACCAGAAATTTACTTAAAATAGTATATTCCCACAGCTACATTTTCTAATGCATTCAAAAAATGGAGTGTTTATTTTGGATGTATTTTCATAAGCTTGTATGTGTCAAGAAATATATTTTGAAAAAATAAAATCAGAGAAACATTAAAATTCACATATTTGCTTTGTGGTACTAAATAGTCTCAATGAATTGCAGCAGACAGTCTCTGTATCATAAGCGTGTTTAGATGGAATGTTCTATAGATGTCTGTTAAACCCAGTTGGGACATAACTTCTGCTAGTTCTTTTGCTTCTTTGTTAAGTTTCTGTCTGGTAGTCCTGTCTGGTGGTGATAGTGGGGTGTTGTAGTCTCCCACTCTGAGTATGTGAGGTTTTATGTGAGCTTTGAGTTTTAGTAGTTTCTTTTATGAATGTGGGTGCCTTTGTATTTGGGGCATAGATGTTCAGAATTGAGACTTTGCGCTGATGGTTTTCTCCTGTGGTGAATATGAAATGACCTTCTTCATCTCTTTTGGTTAATTTTTGTTTGAAGTCTAACTTGTTAGATACTAGGAGGAAATCCAGACAATTTCCAGGACATGCTTTGAAAACCTGTACTCCACAAAATTTGAAAATTCAAAGGAAATGGACAAATTTCTGGATAACTATCACTTACCAAAATTAAATCAAGAACAGAAAAAACAACTTAAATAGGCCTATAACACCTAGTGAAATAGAAGCAGCCATCAAAAGTGTCCCAACCAAAAAAAGCTCAGAGACAGATGGTTTCAGTGCAGAATTCTACCAGAAATACAAAGAAGAGCTAATACCAATACACCTCAAATTATTACACACAATAGAAGCATAAGGTTAATTACCAAACTCTTTTTAGGAGGCCACAATTACCTTGGTACTCAAACCACACAAAGACACAACTGAGAAAGAGAACTACAGACCAACATCCCTCATGAACATTGATGCAAAAATACTCAATAAAATACCGTCAAATTGAATCCCAGAACACATCAGAGAAATCATCCTCCATGACCAAATAGGCTTCATCCCTGTGTTGCAGGGATGTTTCAACATATGAAAATTGATCAGTGTAATCCACCATATAAGCAAACTGAAAAAGAAAAGCCATATGATCATCTCACTATATGCTGAAAAGCCTTTGACAAAATTCAACACCCTTTTATGATAAAGGTCTTGGAAAGGTCAGAATAACAGGAACATAACCTAAACAAAATAAATGCAATATACAATAAACCAACAGTCAACATCAAACTGAATTGAGAGAAGCTTAAGGTGATTATTCTAAAATCAGGAACAAGACAAGGCTGACCTCTGACTCCATATCTCTTCAATATTGTACTTGAAGTTCTAGCTAAAGCAATAAGACTAGAAAAGGATATCAAGGGGATCCAAATTGGAAAGGAAGAAGTCAAACTGTCACTATTTACAGATGATATGATAGTTTACAAAAGCAACCTAACAAACACTACAATGGAACTCCTACAGCTGAAAAACACCTTCAGTAAACCAGCCGGATAAAAGATAAACTCAAAAAAAAATTATACAAATGACAAAGGGACTGAGAAAGAAATCAGAGAAACATCACATAAAGTATCTTGGAATAATGCTTACCAAACAAGTGAAAGACCTATATAGCCAGAACTTTGTGTCTTTAAAGAAAGAAATTTAAAAAGTTATCAGAAAATGGAAAGATCTCCCATGCTATGGTATAGGTAGGATAAACAGGAAAAAAAAATTACAATCTTGCTAAAAGTAATCTACAGATTCCGTGAAATTCCCATCAAAATCCCAGCACATTTCTTCACTGACCTTGAAAGCATAATGATCAGCTTTCTATGGAAAAATAAAATTCTGAGAAAAGCTAAAACGACACTGTACAATAAAGGAACTTCAGGAGGCGTCACAGTCCCCGAATTCAAGCTCTACTACAGAGCTACAGTCCTGAAAATAGCTTGGTATTGGCACAAAAACAGACAGGTAGACAAATGGAATCCAATTGAAGATCCAGATATTAACCCACACACCTACACACACCCAAATGTTACTAAAGAAACTAAAACTATACAATAAAAAAAATATCATCTTCAACAAATGGTGCTGGCATTACTTGATGTTGATGTGTAGAAGACTGCAGATATATTCATATCTATCACCATGCACAAAACTTAAGTCCAAATGGATCAAATACCTCAGCATATGACCAGCCATACTGAACCTCTTAGAAGAGAAAGTGGGAGGTACCCTTGTACATACTGGCCCAGGAGACTACTTCCTGAACATAACACCAGTAGCTCAGACACTGAGATCAACAATTAATAAATGGGATCTCCTGAACCGGAGAACTTTCTTTAAGGCAAAAGGCACAGTCAACAAGACAAAACAGCAGACCATAGAATGTGAAAAGATGTTCTTCACCAACCCCACATCTGACATAGGGCTGATTTCCAAAATATACAAAGAACTCAAGCAACTATTCACAAAAACCCCAAATAATCCAATTAAAAAGTTGGGTACAGAACTAAACAGAGAATTCTCAATAGAGGAATCTGAAATGGCGGAAAGTCCCTTAAGTGCTCAACATACATAGCCATCAGAGAAACATGAATCAAAACAACTCTAAGATACTTCTCAGAATGGTTAAAATGAAAAACACCAAGGACAGTTTATGATGGAGAGGATTATGGAGAAAAGGGCTCACTCCTCCACTGCTGGTGGGAGTGCAAACTCATACAGGCACTTTGGAAATCACTATGGCAGTTGGTTCCTCAATTGTTTTTATTAACCATTATCTTAAGCCACAGTTTTTGTGGCTCCTCAATAGAAAGTCATGTGTTCTAGCTGTGTGACACTTACTTGTTTCATTTTTAATCATCAAATCTCTGTTAAACTAACATTATTATTGTCAATTAGACAATGCAGGTTAGGAGGAAATCGCCTTAATAATAACCCATCAGGTAAAAATTCCCTTCAGAATGAGATGTTTTCATGGGATAAACCTACTATATTGCAGGGCTTTTCTCTACACCTATTCACACCATTCCAGATACCAGTACCAGAAAAAGACAGTAGCAGCAGGAATCTAAAGGCATAGCAGAAGGCAAAGATATTCTGTTGTCTCTGGCCTTTTCTATCCGAGAATAACCTGTCATGGTGGGCTGACACCTTCGTCTTTGATTGCCAACTGCTGTCCTCTGACAGTGCCACCAGCAATTAATTCTATGGAGGGCATGAGGGTCTACAGGAGAGTTTGGAAGGAGAGAAGGAAAGGAGGGAGTGTTGTGATTATAGTATAATCTTAAAAAATAAAAGAAATAATACGCTTGAAATAGTACACATAAAACATCGTTGAAATGAAGGAAAAGCTAGAAAATTGGCATCTTATTTACATAAAAAGTAATTTTTACTTCCTTGTAAAATTTTTGCTACTTTTACTCATGTATTCAAATCATCATAGACACTGAGGTTCCCTGGAGAGTTTTCCAAATTTTATTTGCCAAATTATGTCAGTAAATGAATTAAGCTATTGATGGAAAGCAATGTGAGCAATATACTTCATGTGCAGATTTGATGATGTTCTCTACTCTTAGGAGAATGTGAATGTGGGATGATTGCTGGTTCCTAGACTGACCTTCCAAGGTGAACTTCAAGTATAGTTACACCAATTTCACACTTAAATATCAATTATAAAAGTTATACTTATTTATATTAAGGCTAATTTTAAGTATATTATAATAGTTAATGATATTCAAAGTGCTTTAGATACACTAGCAAATGTGATGTATGTAGTGACCTGGACTTATAAAAGAAGTAGTTCTAGTTTCAGTCAATTCAGAGGTAAAACTCAGTGAAGTTCCCAATGTTTTATTTAGTGTGACCTTATGACCAAAATCTCCCATTTGCAGGATAAGTAGGAGGACACATATGTTGTAGGCAGGAGATAGGTAAAATGGCTGAGAAAAACAACATTAAGTTATTTTAGCCTTATTGACTCCATACTAATTAAACTGTGACCCCTAAGCCAATCAAATGGTTTCATGACAATCAGGTGAACTATGGTCACTTTAGAACTTCTCACACATACATGCCTTTTACCCCGAAACTTAAGAGCAGGAGGAAATAAAATTGCATCTGGAATTCCCTGTAGGACATTTAAGTATGGAACCTCATTTCATTCTAGAACCAAGCTTAGGCCTGGGGATTATCAGAAAGTCCTGAATATGTTTGATGATAAACTAGCAACTGAGCTATTCATCTGTATATTGACCACCAGCTCAAAGACAAACCTAATGGCACCCTGTGAAATGATAGCAATAGGATTAGCTAAAATACATGCTATCCTGGCCAGGACAGTTCATTTGCTTCCCCCCCCTCATCTGTCTCTTTTAAATTTCATCTCAAACTTACAATTACAGCTTAGGAAAATAAGGTAATAACTGTTGAAATAAAGTCTCTTGAACAACAGAATAGACATCTACAATTTTATCAGAAAATTCATCCTAGACTTTGAGAGCTTTAGGTATAACTAAGTGTTACTTTGTGATTGAAAGAACTGAAACAAGGGATTCAGTTTGATACACGTTTCAGTCTGTATTCCCTCCTCTGCCCTTTCAGCTACAGCTGCTTATCTTCTCCTGTTTAATTATCCTTAAATATAATTGCTCTACAGAGCATGCCAACACACTGGGCTTAATGTGTTAGTGATGATACAAGAGATATTGTCTGCTTCTTCCTTAAGTGAGATTTTTATGTGTTCAATACTAACACTCTTGAGGAGTTTGCTCAAATTAACTCTTTTAGATTGAAT